GGTAAAATGAGTTTCGATATTTAAAAATAAGCACATTGCTATTTGCCTAATTTGCACAAGAGGACAAATAATTCCAAATAGAATTTTTCATTGTAAACTGTAGTACTCTTAAGAATCAGTTCCAGCCTGGCCGGAGTGGCTCAGTTGGTTGAAGCATCGTCCCTGATCAGGAGCACATACCTGGGTTGCAGGTCCAACCCCGGGTCAGGGCACATACAACTGTTCAATGTTCCCCTCTCTCTCTCTCCCTTCCCCTCCCTCTCCCTCTCTCCCCTAGCATGTCCTCAGGTGAGGACTAAAAAAAAATTAAAAGAATCAGTACCAGTTGCAGGAATTTTTTTCCCCAAATCCTTTTCAAGGATAAAAGACAAATCAAAATGAAAACACTTCTAAACCTCTGCATTCATTAACTATCCAGAGTGTAGTGAGTCAAGTCTTATTGTTTTAGGATATCAAAGAGAGATCATGTTTGGTTTACTATATATCCCTAAATTAAACTAGATAGAAAAAAATGTTACAAATAACCTTAATCAAGTATCTTTATTTTACTTTTTCCCTCTTAAGTTCTATTTAGGATACTGAGATTGGACCTAAAGCAGAGATAGATTTTTAATTTTTATTGAATTTATTGGGGTGGCATCCTATATAATAAAAGGCTAATATGCAAATCAACCGAACGGCAGAACGACCGATGCTATGATGGGCACTGACCACCAGGGGGTAGATGCTCAACGCAGGGGCTGCCCCCTGGTGGCCACTCAGCCAGAAGCCGGGCTCACGGCTGGCGAGTGCAGAGGTGGTGGCAGGAGCCTCTCCCGCCTTCATGACAGCGCTAAGGATGTCTGACTGCCGGCTTAGGTCAGACAACCCCTGAGGGCTCCCAGACTACAAGAGGGCGTAGGCTGAGCTGAGGAACACTGCTCCCCCCCCCCCAGTGCACGAATTTCGTGCACCGGGCCTCTAGTTGGTTAATAAAATAATATAGGTTTCAGGTGTACAATTCTATAATACATTATCTGTTTTTATGTTGTGTGTTCACCACCCCAAGTCAAGTCTCCTTCCATCACCATTTATCACCCCTTTACCCTTTTCTACCTCACTCCACCCCTTTTCCTTCTGGTAATCACCATGATTTTTTTAAGTTAATAGATACATAACAATATTTATGCAAAAAATTCACAAAACAAAATTGCTGGCAGTGTTCATTTTGAAAAACAAAAATGGGCTTTCTCTCTTATATTCTCCCCTTGGGATTCTTTGGTGGAGGTGAGCAGGAATGCTGCAGAAGTGGTAAGCAGCCAGTGTTTCTACAGGAAAAGGCAGAGCTACCACTATTAAGACTGGGACAGGCTTAGTCTGCTCCTTCTTCGAGCCCCTCTTTCCAATAATGAAGTCATTTCTCTTCCAAACCCTGTCCAAGCAGCTGGAACTCTCCAAGTCTTTCTCACAATTGTTTTATAAGCCCAGGAAATTTGATTACAAATATTACAATAACCCACAGGCCCTACACACTGTCCCACCCATTTCCTGCTACCTCTCTGGCCTCACTTCTTACCAGTCTGCCTTCACTTGCTCCGCTCCAAGCACACCAGCCTCCCTGACAGGGCCACTGCTGCACAGGCTCTTCCATCTGCCTGGGACACTTAGGACCCAGATATCCAATCACCTTCTCACTGAGGCTTTCCTGACCACTCTGCTTTCCATTGCAATTCCCTACCCTTGCATTTCCTATCTCCATTATGGGCTTCATTTTTCCCCATGGCACTTATCTCCACGTGATTTACTACACATTTCTACTTCTTGTATGCCTCTGCTCAATAAAAGTCAGCACCAAGAAGGCAGAAATTTTTATCTGTTCTGTCCAATGGTGTGTCCCCAGCATCTGTAACAATGCCTGGCACTTAGCAAGAGCTCAAAAAATATTTGTGGAATAAATAAGTGATTCCAATTTGGGGGGAAACCCCATCAAATATTTATTAGACATTAAAAACACAAACCTAAACAAATACAAATAATGCAAAAAGCATGGTCTTTGCTTTCAAGAAGCCTGGCTGGAGAAATAGAACTAATACACAGGGAGTAATTAGTTAATTACATAGGCAATATTAGGTATGACTATTAACTACTTAGGTTTATTTGTATATAAATCATGGAATCTGCCTTGTTATGCCTAGTGTATATTTAAATACTGAATGAAATGGTATAAACTTGTCATAGGAGTTCAGAGGCAAAAAAATAACTAAGGCTGACATTACCCAACACAAGATGCATTCAAAAACTTGAGAAGAATTACAATAAGTTACAACAGCACTCTAAAATTCTCTCTCATATTTTGGGTCCCTGGATATTCAGAAATATGAAGACAAAATTAATGTATTTAAGTAGCTTAAAAGAATCTTTATTAGAGGCAACAGCAGATTACTACTCAAACTGGAAATGTATCCAAACAGGGTAACCTCTGGTTTTCATCTGTTCTTATGGGACCTAGAAATGGTTTCAATCCTATCCTATATAATAAAAGGCTAATATGCAAATCGACCAAACGGCTGAACAACCGGTCACTATGACGAGCACTGACCAAGAGGGGGCAGACACTCAATGCAGGAGCTGCCCCCTGGTGGTCAGTGTGCTCCCACAGGGGGAACACCACTCAGTCAGAAGCCGGGCTCATGGCTGAAGAGCACAGTGGCAGTGGTAGAAGCCTCTCCTGCCTCCACAGCAGCATTAAGGATGTCCGACTGTTTAACTGCTGGCAGTCTGACATCCCCCAAGGGCTCCCAGACTGCGAGAGGGTGCAGGGCAGGCTGAGGGACCCCCTCCGCCCCCTCCCCCCCCCCCCCCCGCCAAGTGCACAAATTTCGTGCACCAGGCCTCTAGTAGAAAATAAGATACTGGGTCCTGAGTCATAAAATAGGGAGCACAATATGAAAACAAGTAGGCTGGTTTGAAAGAAATGATACACAGCCCAAGAAAAGAGCTTATACTCTGCATAAACTTTCAACTTTAGAATTTGAGAAACAGACCATCTTCATCTGTATTTGTTTTGCTTTGTTAATATCTCACACAAGTTAAGCTTCTTGACTTCTTGATTCCCTTTCAAAATCATACTTAGTAAAAATGCCCATAAATAAAAATGAGTACTTTCATTTACGGGCAGAAAGGATACTATCAAAACAGAACTTTTTAGCAAGGTTGTATTTCACATTGACTACTTTTATACGCATTGAAATGTATAACTAATAGTTATCAAAATTTAAATTCACACACTTTTGACTCAACAGTCCTACTGAAAGGAATTTCTCTCAAGGGGGAAAAAAGAAACTGGTTAGAAAATCATGATACATCAAAGTAAATCTGTAAGTCTAAGTTCATAAAAAATTTTACTATTTAGTTTTAAGACCAAATCGATACTCCAGACAAGTACATATAATTTACCCTGTATATATCCTTTAAATAGTCCCAGGAGAAACTCAAAAAAGCAGCCATAGCTAAATACGTTTGGAAGGCACCACATGTTATTCCCCTCTTAAAAGATTTACAATACACAAGATAATTTATGGGAGACTTTGAGATGTTAGGGGGAGTAAAGGTGTTTTCCAAATTTTATAGAATAGAAACACTTTTGCAATCATTAAAAACAAGACTTGTTTAAAACTTTCCATAGCCACATGGTAAATGACAGCCACCTTCCTTATAAACCTAAAGGTTCAAAGCTACACTCAATCACCCTCTCTTCATTCCTTCTTTCTCCTCCCCATAGCCAAGACACTGCAGTGCTTCTAACTTTACAATTCATAATAATCACAGGGAATTTATTAAAGTACTAGGGGAGGCCTGGTGCATGGATTCGTACACTGGTGGGGTCCCTCGGCCTGGCCTGCACCCTCTCACAATCTGGGACCCCTCAGGGGATTCAGACTGCCAGTTTCAGCCCGATCCCCGCAGGCCAGGCCGAGGGACCCCACCTGTGCACCAATCCGTACACCAGGCCTCTAGTATGCATATAAGATTTTTGGTTAATCTTTTCTGGCCTTCCCCCCGTCCCCCTTCCCTCTGCGATGCATCAATCTGTTCCAAGTTTCCATGCCTGTGCATTGAGTGTCTGCTCCCTGGTGGTCATTGCGCGTCATAGCGAACAGTCGAATGGCCAGGCGGTCGCTTAGGCTTTTATATATATATAGATAGTTCTTGGCCCTGGATGGTATGGCTTAGTTGGTTGGAGCAACATCCTGTATACTGAAAGGTTGCAGGTTCGATTCCCAGGTAGGGCACATACCTAGGTTGTGCGTTTGGTCCCAGTTGGGGAGCATACGGAAGGCAACCAATCGATGTTCTCTTTCACATCAATGTTTCTCTTTCTCTTTCTCTCTCGGGTGAGGATTGATTGATAAAATTTAATAAATATATATAAAATTCTTGGTTCTTTCTTGCAGATATTCTGAATCCTATCAGTATTTTTAACAAGCAATCCAGGTGATTTCAATGTAGGTCAAATGTTGAGATATTCAAAATGCCTCACACATCATCATCAAAGAGTGATTAGCTATTTTATACTTAAGGACAGGTAACTTTAAAAAACAAAAGGAAGTTCAGAAAATCTGAACTTCATATGAGTATATTAAAAATTTACTTTGCACCCAGGAAACAAACAGAAAAGACATACTAAGAAGAGTCAAACCATACCTTAAAAGAATACTCTCAAATATAATAAGGATTCTTAGCCTGTGCTCCATTGAGAAATGTCAGGAATTCTTAAACTTACTGAGCTATCCACACAATTTTTGTCACTATAAGAATACATGCCTTCTTATGGAGAAATAATCCAAAGCTTTTACCAATTCTTATACTGCTCGATAACTCAATTTAAGAGCCATCATATTTTTTATTTATCTGAAAAAAGGCTAGTAAAAAGTGCTTTTTAATTAACACTATGAATCAGATACACGAACACACATTCCTGAGTTGCTTTCTATCTCAAAACCAAACAAAAAGCAACTTACCTTTGCAGAGTCATATTCAAAGAGCCTGTACAACCCTTAATCTTGTTCTGGGCTTCAAGGTGAGTCATTCCATGGGCACTTATTCCATCAATGCTAAGAAGCACGTCGCCTATTCTCACATTTGCCTGAGATGCTTTGCCACCATCTTTTAACTGTAATAAATAAATTTAATTAGGAGTGTCACTTGTTAAGAAATAAATAATAAACACAGATGAAAATTATACTTTTGCTTATATCAAAAGAAATATATATTAATAAACTATTAGACAAAGTAAAAATTATCTTAACAGGTAAAGTTAAAAATTAAATAACACTCATGTTTATGTTCTTAAATTCTTATCTGCTCTACATAACTAAAATCATTTCATGAGAAAGGTTCCCTGATAATTTCTCCATTTCTTTATTGTGTAACAGTAGAGTGTGACTGTTACAAATGAAGAAGAGAAGTAGTGAAGAAAACTACATATTAGCAAAAGAAGAAGACCATAAGCTTAATAGGGTATTTAATATTAGCTTTTAAAAGTAATTTTAAAATTCTTTAGACAGCTGCATTTTTGTTTGAGCACAAAAAGTAATACAAGTGGAGGATCTACTGAACAATCCTTCCTGTTGAGTCCAAATCACATCCAGTGCTGGGGGCGTTGAATTCTTTTAGATCACAGGCCCAAATATCTTTTCTACTGATGTGTTTCCTGCTCCAGGCACTTAGGCGGGGAAGGAAACCAGTGTGTCTGAGACTGTCAGACTTTTTTTGTGTACCACAGTCTTTAATCTCCAATCTTTCTGCCCTTCTCTGTAAAATTTTCTACTAGAAATAATATCTATTTGAGCAAGGATATGTAAAATCTAACAGATATAAGATACAAAAAATATTTCAAACTTTTCAAATGAAACATTCTTTCATATACATGGTATAGTGATTTTGTTTTCCTTTTTGTACTAATAGAAAAAAACAATTCCTTTCACTTGCCCAGATATTTGAAGGTAAAGCAAAATTAATGAAATGTTGACACCAGAGAAATAAAATTTCCAGACTAACAAAACAGATCAAAATTTAACTCACATACAACTTACCAACATAACTATATTATATATATAATATATGTATGTATGTATACATATACACACCTTTTATTACATACATTGTATGGCTGTCGAAGTAGCTTCAAAATTTAATGAAAATTAAATGAATTGGATTTCAGGATCACAGGATCAAGAATAAAAGAATTAAGATAGAACTTTATTATATATTTTTAAAAATACCTTATCAGCAAGTATTTTTAAAATATAAAAGGAATATGTGCATGTCTATTTTGGATTTAGGAAAAAGTCTTTTATTAACGAGTACATTAAGTGATATGGTTTTACTACAGTCATGCACTGCACAAGGATATTTCTGTCAACAACGACTGTATATACAGCAGTGGTCCTATAAGATTATAATGAAACTAAAAAATTCCTATCGCCTAGTAACGTCATTGCTGTGGTAACATTGTAGTCCAACCCATTATTCATGTGTTGGCGGTGATGCTGGTGAAAACAAACCTACTGTGCAGCCAGTCTTATAAAAGTACAGCACATACAATTATGTACTGTATGTAATACTTGGTAATCATATGTATTTACTATACTACACTTTTTATTGTTTGATTCTATTCTTTGTATTTACACTAAAGAGTTTGTTGTAAAATATTATGCCAGGTTAGGGTGGTAGCAGCTTCACGTATCTCATGTTTACCAGTGTCTTGACTGCATGTATCTCTTTCTTTTGTGCTCGATTTAACTTAACCTTGTGTCGTTTTGTACAGTAACATGCTGTAAAGCAAGCATGTCGAACTTGCGACCCACAGCCGCATGTGGCCCACAATGAATATTTTTGTGGCCCAGCCAAAATAATGGTATGTAAGAAACGTTTTAATAAAAATTTCATAACTTAATTTTTACAATATCCTGTTATGCATAATTATTAATAACTAACTACAACGTTCGCTAATGACTGATTACTATAATTGTGTTGTATTCATTTCCCTTACGCGCCTTATGTGAAGGTGCACCATTTCTCTCCACTGATACTAGCAGCGAATATTTTAGCAGCCGATTGCCACGTCATTAGCCTTGTGCTGACTTGTTTGATGTGCACAACAGGAAATATTTCACTTCCAGAGAACAAGAAAAATAGGCTTATTTGTGTTATGCTTACTAATTTGTGCAGTTATTCAGTGTCTCATAAGTTAATGTGCAAGAAAAATATTAATTTTTATTAAAATGTTCTATTATTTTAATGATTACTCATTTATTTCAGCCCTTTGTATTCAACATGTCTCTATCGAAGTAAACCTACATTTCTATGAAAATTGAAGCTTTTTTTTTTTTTTTTTTGTCCACATAAACTTAAACCTTGTTTATTTGGCCCGTGTTAGCCTTTGAGTTTGACATGCTTGCTGTAAAGGCTTGTAGCCTAGGAGCAATAGGTTATACCATAGAGCAGTGATGGCGAACCTATGACACACGTGTCAGAGGTGACACGCGAACTCATTTTTTTGGTTGATTTTTCTTTGTTAAATGGCATTTAAATATATAAAATAAATATCAAAAATATAAGTCTTTGTTTTACTATGGTTGCAAATATCAAAAAATTTCTGTATGTGACACGGCACCAGAGTTAAGTTAGGGTTTTTCAAAATGCTGACACGCTGAGCTCAAAAGGTTCACCATGACTGCCATAGAGCCTAGGTGTGTAGTAGGCTATACCATATGGGTTTGTGCACTCTGTGGTATTCTCCCCAACAATGAAATCACCTAACAAAGCATTTTTTAGAATAGATCCCAGTTGTTAAGCAGTGCATGGCTATATATTAAATAACAGATGTGGCCCATCATTTAATAATTAGCATTTCTTTTTATTAATTTAAATATCTTAAAATTATGTAAAATATGTAAAATCTAACAGATATACGATCTTAATTTAACACAGAAATAATAATTGCTCTTCTCTAATGTACAGAACTAAATTGTTTAAATTGTAAAAGACATTTACAAAGAAAGTAGTTCCTGAAGTCAATAGTTTTCTATGGGACTTATTCACAGGATTATTGTAATGACTATGTGAGATTATAACTCAATAAATGTTGGCATTATTACTATTCTCTTGACCTCAGATTATTAATCTGAGAAACATGGGTACTGTACTAGATGATCTCAAAGGCACTCCTAGGATCCCTTCCAGTTTTAAAAGTTTACCTATTTATCAGCTATCTGCATGCACAAAGGGTGTATAGATCTAATCCCAAAATAGGAGTCAAATTTGAAAGACTTTGATGACAGTACCAAGGAACATCTATTCCCTATTAAAATCAACAAATGAATTAAAGTTTGAATACTGAATAAAGAAAAAGTATAAATATAACTTATCCTAGATTTTACTTTAGCCAAGAAAGGCAAGCATAAAAAGAATAAAAATAAAAAAACAGAACATAGTAAATTACATGACCATTTTTAACATAAAGTAGCCTTAATATAAAAACACTGAAACCTATGGAACATTTTTCTAAATGTACCCAACAAAAGCAATTTAAATATTCCCAGTCTTGTAATAATATAAAGATAATGAACAATGTAGAAAGAAAATTATCAAATCCAGTGTCATTACTAGATAAAACTTTATGACCTCAAGATGTTCAAAACCAACTTCTCAAAGTTACCTTTCTAGGGTTGCTTTTACTCTGCCACCTTCTTATTTGCAGATAGTGGAGCACAGAAATCCTAACTCCTGTGAATTCTGCCTCTTCCAAGTACATCTAGGGAAGCTACTAAATTTTGTATATCCTTCCAATCCCCTCCCATGCTAGTCCACACCATGATCATCTGTCACCCTGATCTTGCCTACAGCCTACTGCAAGAAGCTCCATATTCCTCCCCCCTCCTCCATCTTCACATTTCATAATGGTGGCCCTACTACTATTTCACACTGGGACTCCAATCATGCTAAAATAAGGGTGAAAAATCTCCAAATATCTTCTTCCTACAATGCAGAATAAAGCCGTAGCCTGAAATACATGCCATCTATAATTTGTCACCACTGGTTTCTAATTTCAAAACAAGCACCATAAGGTCAGGAATCATGTTTTAAAATAATTTGCTTTTCTCCAAGAGCCTTGATTACTGCAGATATTAGAAAATATCTGATCAAATCATAATAAAGGAGAAATCAATAAATCAGTACATCAGTTTAATATACTCAATTCTAGAATACTTAATTCACCAAAGAGAGAAATATATATTCTAATCTGAAATGATTATCTTCAATTAATCATTAGGCTGAACTGACTTAAGTAAGGTAAAAAATCAAACCACATTTCCAATAGGACAAAGTAAATCCAGTTTGGATAGTTAGTAACGTATTTTTCCTAGGACCTCCAAAGTTATATCACAATACCCCTAGGTAACTTTATTGAGTAAGTATTAGAAGGAGTTTAATTATATTTAATCTCAACCCTTTCTCAATAAATTATCAACATGGAAACAAATACCCATCACCATCTGTATCATCTTTTATTATTAAACTGTCAAACTCATTTTTGTCTACAGTTTTTTTTAACTTAGTAATATTATCTTGGCTTTTTTACATTAACTTTTTTTGTTAATCTCTATATTATTCAATACTCAGGCTTTGTATACATGATTAAAACTAAAGATAGATCATGAAGAGCCTGAACTAATGCTGTATGTATAGTGGGAAAGGACCAATGCCTAGAGACAAATTTAAGACTTGTATAGGTTGCATATCACTGAATACTCCTAAGCTTCACTTATCCTCAGAACCATTTCCCCAAGCCATGCACTCATTACAAAGATAAATTCCCCCCCTTAATTGGGTATTATGCAGCATTATTATGAATTGTGAGCGGATAAGGAAAAACGACAAGGTCACTCATTATTTGCATAATTCATTTTTCCTTTGTTTGTACAAGTCTAAATAGCTTGCATTTGTTTGAAGCAGTAACAAGTTTCTGTCATCAGTAAATCTTGTACATGTTATATGACAGCCATAAGGGTGTGTGTATTTCATAAATGCACAATTTGTAGGAAGGAAACAGTTGTGGGAAGCTCCTGGGTCAAGCCCAGTATAAATCAAACTAATCAGAAGCAAATG